TTTATGCATAGTTAATAGATTACATTATTAGGTTACTTTGACCATCGCCCACTAAAGATCAACATAATCTATAAAAGTGAGAATCAAGATAATTAATGATATAGTTAATGCGTTTGGATATGTTTCGAATAAAAAGGAAAAAAATAAATAAATGCCCCCTCAAAAATAATGAATGCATGACGCCCCTGATTGTTATCCTATCCTTATATATCCCTTGAGAAATTCAAAGGCTGAAAAACTCTAACCCTATCCAATACATTGTGCAAAAAAAAAAAAAAAAAAAAAAAAAAAAACAAAACCAACACCCCATATTAGACATTTCCAAAAAGCAAAATATTAGGTTACTTTGACCATCGCCCACTAAAGATCAACATAATCTATAAAAGTGAGAATCAAGATAATTAATGATATAGTTAATGCGTTTGGATATGTTTCGAATAAAAAGGAAAAAAATAAATAAATGCCCCCTCAAAAATAATGAATGCATGACGCCCCTGATTGTTATCCTATCCTTATATATCCCTTGAGAAATTCAAAGGCTGAAAAACTCTAACCCTATCCAATACATTGTGCAAAAAAAAAAAAAGCCAATACCAACTACACCTGGTCCCAAACATAGCTTTCAAGAGCCTAGCAAGGGACAATGACAGCCTTGCTTTATACAGTATGGTGGATTGCGACACTGTCACTCTGATGCACCAGGAGGTGGCATGTTAGAGCAGCATAAGCCAAGTCAAAGTTCAGTTTATTAAATAGCTGTTTTCATACAATAAAATACTGGAAGTGCTCTCTCAGTTGCATGAACCCTAACCCTTAAATAGATTCTGAGTCATTTTTTCCCTTTATATGTGAATTTCATGAAATGTTTGCACTTTCTGAAATGTATCTGTGTCATCTTTTATGTCAAATTCTTACATTTTTCCAATCAAATGAAAATGAGGTTCCTGAAAGGCTTTTTCTCTCTCTCTCTCTCTAAATAGAGACATTTCCAAAAATGGATATCTGGAGTTTCAAAATGCCACTTGGTGACAACATGATCTGATATCTATTCCAACAGATTGAGGACTGATCATTTAAGACTCAGTGCCCTATAGTTAACATGGCTATAAACAGAATTATGTACATTTTTTCAAAGTCTTACTGTAAGTTTTAAAGACAGTATAATCTTTTCAAACAGACATGCCAACACAAGTTTAAAGACTAAAAGTGTATTATTATAGCAATTACAAAGCAATTGTGAGGTTTATATGTAGTATGTGATCTAAAATGTGTCTGCAGAATGTGTTGAGTGATATTCCTGAGATACAGTTGGAGTTCCCACCTGTTTTATTGCTAAACACTGCTGCTAGAGAGCACAACAGGTGAGAAAACACACAGATTTCAGCAACAGAAGTGATAGGGTTCATCTTAATTTTTTGCTTACAGTTCTTGCACTTACAATAAAGGACTGAAAGAGTGTCATGTTTCTCTGTTCATTCCAAGGACATGATTTGGAGAAAGATGTGTGTTTGTAGGTCAGGTTTTGCATATATTGCACCAAATGTCCCCACAAGGACAGATAAAACTGAAATTACCTACACTGTGGGATTAGTTAACATAAAAAAATCCTTTTTTTAATTGAAATGCAGAAATATTTCGGTGATAGGTATGTTATGTAAGGGGATTGAAAGCATCATTAGCTCAATATAAGAATAATACAAGTTAATAGTAAGTCCCCATGATAGAATGATATAAAAACAAATGTGTGTGTGTGTGTTGATTGTGGGGAGGGAAGGAGAGGGGGGTGTTGGGATTTGACAATCTCATTGGCTTAAGGAAAGATCTGCTTCCTTAAAGAGAATGGAGAAGCCGTATGGGAAACCTATATAAACCCAACTAATGTTATAAACTGATGCTCTTTCCCTCTAATCACCCCTGAATGTCCTGCTGCGCACTGAAAGGTGAGTCTCTATTATTCTGTCCATCTCGAACATTAGATCTTCAGGAGATCTCAGTCATGCTGAGCAGCCATACTCAGCCAAGAAATTAGAGTAATAAGTAGGATAAAAATATGCTTTATAATGTACTGCATACTGGACTTGTGACAAAACAGGTTAAGTGGCTGTTGCCTAATATAATACTGTGTTTTTAAGAATGGAGAGACAATGGATATGGTTTGATGTCTTCTTTATGGATACATTCTGATCAGTTCTAACTTTAAACTCTAATGTCAAATGCTCAAAAAGCTTTTATTAGACCCTAAATTGACATAATTGTGGTATGTGTTGTTGGGATACATTTGAGTAGGCTATATTTAATTCATTGTAAAAGTATATGAATCACAAGTATATTAAGCACATGCTCACTGTTAGATATTTCTTGCCTTTGTTCACCAGCACCTGTTGTTTTTACAGAAAAAAAATTGGCTGTTGGGGTTGCCGGAATAATTCAATTAAAATACTATAAAATATAATCAACTTTACAGACCTGTACATTTTACAGTTTAAAACTGTTGTAATTTACAAAAAATCCAACAGCCATTTTATGCTGAATTACCGTAACCAAGCTGCTACTAAAATCAGTTTTAATTCTTTAACATAACAAATAGCTTACATAAGTTGTACAGTGTCATACACACACATACAGATTCATGGTGACACACATGACATTAAAATAATGTAATAAACAGTAATTTATCAACATAAGATGTAACATAAAACCGTAGTTTTAACAAAATACTGTCAAACGTGAAGTATCGTACAAGGAATTCTGGGAATATCTGTTTACTGTAAATTAAATGACTTCCAAAAACTATCGATTTAACAGTTAAAATTACATAAAATGTCCCAATAAATCTATTTTGGTTTTTCACAATGAAGAGTAAGGGAACTTACCGTTAACCAATTAACAGGCTTTACCGTAAGTCTTTTTTTCACAATGTAATATTTCCTTCACACATCTTATGATATACACAGGTATGGAGACAACAGCTCATTTTAAAAAACATAATGCTCCAACTCAGTCCATGTCCAATCCAAAATCTTTTTTGGCAAGAAAAGTGTAGAACTAATATAGTTCTTTAGACTATCAGAAAGTATTTTTACAGTTGTGGAGGGTTTCAGCTGTTGGGTGTTGAAGTTGAGGAGATTCTTCAAGAGGCAGCAAGTTGTCTGTCAGCTGTCTCGTCTTCTGTATTGGGTGCAGACCTTCTGCTTCCTACAAAGGAACACTAAAAAAAGAGCACAAGACAACTGCTTCTCAAATTCAAACCCTTAAACACCTAACACTTCTGAGGGTATTGACACTTACACAGACCCATGTACACCAGCCGTCTCTCTTTCACATTATCCCCAGCCAAATTTAGACTTACTGCAGGACCGATGACTGAATGTAAATTGTTTCCATTAGATTGAAGGCAGAAACACCCCCACCTGCAACCCACAGGCGTCTTCACCTTAACAGAGGTTGCCACAAAGAGCCCGGCAAGACATTCTGATCAGTTCTAACTTTAAACTCTAATGTCAAATGCTCAAAAAGCTTTTATTAGACCCTAAATTGACATAATTGTGGTATGTGTTGTTGGGATACATTTGAGTAGGCTATATTTAATTCATTGTAAAAGTATATGAATCACAAGTATATTAAGCACATGCTCACTGTTAGATATTTCTTGCCTTTGTTCACCAGCACCTGTTGTTTTTACAGAAAAAAAATTGGCTGTTGGGGTTGCCGGAATAATTCAATTAAAATACTATAAAATATAATCAACTTTACAGACCTGTACATTTTACAGTTTAAAACTGTTGTAATTTACAAAAAATCCAACAGCCATTTTATGCTGAATTACCGTAACCAAGCTGCTACTAAAATCAGTTTTAATTCTTTAACATAACAAATAGCTTACATAAGTTGTACAGTGTCATACACACACATACAGATTCATGGTGACACACATGACATTAAAATAATGTAATAAACAGTAATTTATCAACATAAGATGTAACATAAAACCGTAGTTTTAACAAAATACTGTCAAACGTGAAGTATCGTACAAGGAATTCTGGGAATATCTGTTTACTGTAAATTAAATGACTTCCAAAAACTATCGATTTAACAGTTAAAATTACATAAAATGTCCCAATAAATCTATTTTGGTTTTTCACAATGAAGAGTAAGGGAACTTACCGTTAACCAATTAACAGGCTTTACCGTAAGTCTTTTTTTCACAATGTAATATTTCCTTCACACATCTTATGATATACACAGGTATGGAGACAACAGCTCATTTTAAAAAACATAATGCTCCAACTCAGTCCATGTCCAATCCAAAATCTTTTTTGGCAAGAAAAATATAGAACTAATAGAGCAGAAAGTATTTTTACAGTTGTGGAGGGTTTCAGCTGTTGGGTGTTGAAGTTGAGGAGATTCTTCAAGAGGCAGCAAGTTGTCTGTCAGCTGTCTCGTCTTCTGTATTGGGTGCAGACCTTCTGCTTCCTACAAAGGAACACTAAAAAAAGAGCACAAGACAACTGCTTCTCAAATTCAAACCCTTAAACACCTAACACTTCTGAGGGTATTGACACTTACACAGACCCATGTACACCAGCCGTCTCTCTTTCACATTATCCCCAGCCAAATTTAGACTTACTGCAGGACCGATGACTGAATGTAAATTGTTTCCATTAGATTGAAGGCAGAAACACCCCCACCTGCAACCCACAGGCGTCTTCACCTTAACAGAGGTTGCCACAAAGAGCCCGGCAAGACGTCTGAGTAAGTATTGAGTTACAAACATCATGATGTTTGTGTGGCGTGAAAATGATCAAGTCACTAAGTCATGGATTACTGAACTCAGGAAATACATTTAGCATCATGATCATTTTGTATTTATTATGATACATACTAGCATAAATGGTATTAGTACTGCTATTAGCACAGTACATTTTATGGAGTTCCATCTGTTTCTCCTAACCATAATCATCCCAGTCAGTGAATAATGCCCTGTTCTGTGGTCTCTGAAATTGTAAACATTTGCTTTCTGATAGGAAAAAGATGTCGTCCAGCCGCAGGCAACATCTAAAGGTGAGGTCATCTCTTTCTTCATGAGATCTGAGCTATATGAACTGTAAGTGTCTCTCTTGTTGAATACTGTCTATGCTGCTTCTTTGTCTTTGTGCTCCAGAGCTTTTTGCTTCAGATCGCTCATGGGCTTTTGGAGGAAGAGGCATCTGAGGCTGAGCAGGAAAAACAGAGATACATGGAGGAGAACTGCCCTGATCTCTCACTGCCTGGAAGCATGCAGGCACTACAAGTACACACAGACACACACACACACACACACACACACGTTTCCATGTTTTATGGGGATGTTCCATAGACGTAATGCTTTTTATACTGTACAAACTGTATTTTCTACCCCCTTACTCTAACCCAACCCCACAAAAAAACTACTTTTTAGATTTTCAAAAAATCATTTTAAAAGATCACTATGTATAAGCTGTTTTCCTCTTGGGGACCAAAAATGTCCCCACAAGATAAAAAATTACTGGTATTACTATCCTTGTGGGCAGTGTTCGAACTATACCGTGGTCTTTGGGGGAGCCCACTTGTTGTTGTTTTTTTATATAAAGGGGTGGGGGGGGTCAGGGCCTTCGAATTGATAGGTGATACAACAAACAGCCACCCACAAATAGTCTATAAACAAAGCATCAGGCTGTCTTTGAGTTCACATGAACAACGGTTAAAGAATCGACCACAGAGTCCAGCGTTTATATTTTTTCTACGAATCTTTTGAGTTAACATGTACTAAACATGAGTGGAATTTGCACCGCAGCGCCCCCCCACCTTGATGCTCATGACAAGAATAGCATGTATAGTTATCTTTATTGAAGTGAATTAGGTTTAAATCGCCGTCATGCTTGAATGAATGTTATTTTTGCAATTTTACACATGATCACTATTACACAAAACTGAAATTGCACGTCAAAATAACACATTGTCAATATTTTTTGAGACCCCCCAAAATGTCACAAATCACGTTTTCAGGGGAGCCCATGTCTTATTAAGGGGAGCCGAGCTCCCCCTAGCTCCCCCGTAGTTCGCACCCTGCTTGTGGGGACATTTGGTTCCCATAACGTAGGGAATATCATGTACACAAACGCACACACACACACACACACACACAAAGATTCAGTCAGTAACAGAATCACATCATGCTTATGAACAGTTTTATACAGGCTAAAAGCACACCATCGTATTCTATTGCCTTCAGTGCTGTGTGATGGGCAAAAGTACAGATGAATAGGCTATACGTGTGAAAATATGCATGTATCTTTGTGTAAAGGAGCTGTGTAGGAAGTTGCACCAGCAGATTGATGTCATTGATGCACAAAGATATGATATGGAGAGCAAAGAGGCCAAGTCGAACAAGGAGGTACTTTTGTTCTGATGGTTGTTTTGTTCTGTTCTACTAGTTAATGTATTTAACTTACATAACATCTAAAACCTAAACTTTATTCATGATCTTTTAAGATTGAAGATCTGAAGATAAAGGTTCAGGACCTGAAAGGTAAATTCAAGAAACCCGTTCTGAAGAAAGTGCGTATGTCTGCTGATGCCATGCTGCAGGCCCTGCTGGGCTCCAAACACAAAGTGTCCCTGGATCTGAGAGCCAACCTCAAACAGGTCAAGAAAGAGGTCAAGGAGGAGGTGAGCGCACATCATTAGCATTTAAACAGAAGCATGTGCAATAAAATGTGGACATAACTCATGATGAGAAGACAAATTACACGAAGGCTTGTAGTTTTGAAACATTGTACTTTTTCTGGCATTACAGGAGAAGGAGGCAGTGGGAGACTGGCGTAAGAACATTGAGGATAAGGCTGGCATGGATGGCAGGAAGAAGATGTTTGAGTCTGAGGCCTAAATCTGTTTTTCTTAAATTAATATTTTCATACAATGATTTATTCGGTCAAGTTGTCTTAATTCTTGTGGTCTTCAGGGTTCTGAGAGATAAAAAGTGGTAATACTATCTATTGTTGTAATACTATCAAGTGATGTCACAGTTGGTTATGTATTGTATAAAGGAGGTGTTGATGTATGTGATGGTTGGTTTTGCAGTTGAGACTTTAATTTGTAAAAGAATAATCTGACTTTGGGTCTTTTTTATTAGACCAAATAAATTGACATTCATCAGTAAAACCCATTCACATGCTCAAAACAGTACTGAGAGGAGTTTGCTGAAAAAAAAACAATCAAACAATCGAAGTGTGACATTCTGCTTTTTCATTATTTCATCTTCACCAGTTAAATGTATGGCTCAGTGAGACTAAAGAACAACAGCAACCGATGACTCCAGTGGTCACAAGGGAAAACAGCCGGGCTATCACACTAGTAGTGACTTGCTCTTTAAATGTAGCAAGTATGGAGTCACACACAGAGATTGTTCATTTGATAAGCAAAGCAAGATGAAATCTCCCACTTGAAAATGATATTAAGTGTTGCAAATGCATGCTTTCTGTTATGCCTTTATTTGTTTTCTTTTTTCCTGTCTTTCATTCTTTATATTCTTAAAAGAAAAAAGTGTATTGTCTACAGCAGTGTTTCCCAACCTTTTTTCGCGGCACCCTTTGGAAATTTTAACAAATTTGTGGCACCCTACAAAATTAATTTTGTCACAATATTTGAATTTCTAACTTCGATATGATAATTTGAAAAGTATAGATATTCGGTACAACAGGGAAGAACTAACTGGAAATGGATATTATATAATATATGATTTTTTTGAACATTTTAGCAATTTAAAAATATTAAAAAATGATTTTTTTACACGGCACCCCTGCTCTCGACAGACGGCACCCTGGTTGGGAAACACTGGTCTACAGTGCAAGTCGAGTTAAACATACTGAATCCATAGTGTTTAAATTAACTATTAAACTATCAGAATGCTACATAAACTGCAGGCGTTCACTTGTGATACAGCTAAAGTGTGATGTATACATCTGAGCCAGCATAATTATACACCTTCACATGCACACCCTTTTAATATACATACACACTATTTTAACTCACCATTGTGCCATGGTTAATATAATTATTTTCATTCTTCTTCTCCACTCACGCTAGGAAGCTTATTGGGTGACTATTATTTTCATTATAATTATGTTTTTAATATTTTAGTTAGGCCATGATTCATTTAGTTTGCGATTATAATGGAGATTTAGGTGCTTATCTCTACTTATGTACTAACTTTAGCCTATACCTGTTTGTTATCTTTAGGCAGGCAAACCATGCATGTGGATATATTGGTTCTGAACTGAGTGCCTGACAACACACAGAGTAGTGGCCCTGCAATGCTATTGTTTGAGGTGTGGATGTGTGTGTGTGTGTGTGTGTGTGCGTGTGTGGTATCATCTTACTTTCCCAGGGGATCATCACATGACTGTTTAGCTTTCTGCTGATTGGAAGAGAGAACTGGAAAAGACAGGAGCCAGAGTTTGCAATGCTCTGAATGAAAAACACATGGAGATAGACAGAGGAAGGGAGTGAGTGGAACAGAAAGAGAGAGAGAAAGAGATTGACTAAATCCTGTTCAGTGAAAGGGGGAGCACATTCACACCCTTTAGAGGATTCACAGGAAAAGAGAGAATCAGAGAAACACATTCAAATATCATCTTCAGTCACAGCAAGGCTGCTGGGTTTTCAGTGAGGAGATTGAGTGAAACAAATAAACATGTCCAGCTCAATCCTGCGACGACATTCCAGCAAAAAGGGATTGGAGAACCTCCAGAGGTGAGATGTTGTTGATTTGTATGCATGTGTGTGAATGTGTTTGTCTGTGGCCATTTGGTCAGAGTCTTTGGTCTGCAGAGTCACACTGTTCTTTGCCTAGAGTACAGTAGTAGGGCTAGATTATGCTGCAGTTCATTAAATCCTGCTTCATGAATCTTGACTTTTAAATTTAATGTGCTGATAGTGATAATCTGTTAACTAAAAATGCTGTGTAGCACCAGACAGCCATTAGGACAGAAAGGTTTTATCAGGCAACACAGGGGGGAACAGAGCATGGTTTATTTCTGCTGTTTATCAGTTCCTCAGGGTGTTTAGGAGGAAGGGTTAAAGTTCTTGTGGGTTGTTTTGCGGTCACTTAGTATTTCATCCAAACTCTATGGTCAAAGAATGCATGGATGCGGATACAGTGAGACCCAAATCATCAGGTCGTCCCAGATGTTTTGAGGGTAGATGATTGTGTTGTTATATAGTTATGAGTGATGTCATGAAATGATAATGTGTCTGTCCTTTAGGATGTGTCTGTAGTTAAAGTAAAAGCTGTTCCAGATGGCTGTTGTTCACACGGCACATGGTGAGTCAATTCATGACATCATATGAAACGGCAGTGACAGGCTTCAATAGCTTCTTTTATTACTGGAATTTTCCTGAGGGTGGTGACATCATCAGATCACCCCCTGCTCTAAATCTGCTGGATCTGTGATACACAGCAGCAGCCCCCTCCCACTCTGCCCTAAGGACCCGGAGCTCCTCTATACTGTGCAGGAAAATTTGAGCCACTCCACCACCCAGCCATTCTCACTAAGTTTATTCAACAAAGGAAAGAGTGCGGTTATTATTGATATTATAGATTTAGGCTACTCTGCTTTAGTGTTTGCTATGTTCATTTACTCAATACAATAAATATGTTTTTTAACAGATTCAAATGTTTAAGCAGAATGTGAGTGTTAAAGAATTTGCTGCTCTGATGCATGTGTTTTTCATAGTAACTGTTTTCTGTTTTAATATATTTTAAAATTTATTTTAAATAATTTATTTATTTCTGTGATGTAAATCTGAATTTTCAGCAGCCATTACTCTAGTCTTCAGTGTCACATGATCCTTCAGAAATCATTCCATTATGCTGATTTGCTGCTCAAGTAACAATATTATCAATGGTGAAAATAGTTGTGCTGCTTAATATTTTTGTGTAAACCATGCTACATTTTTACATCTTTGAAGAATAGAAAGTTCAATGCAACATTTATTTGAAATAGAAATCTTATGGAGCAATATATCTTTACTGTCACTTTTGATCAAATTAATGCATCCTTGCTGAATAATAATAATAATAATTAAATCTTACCTACATTTTTTAATGGTAGTTTCAAACTATGTTTTTCTTTCTTCTCTTTTATATTCTGGCTTGCTCTGCCAACCTGTTATAAAGTGCTTAGATTGCACATTAGATAAATGGTGTCAATAGTAACAATAAGCATGCCTTTGTTGCTCATTCAGGACAGGTTAAAGAAAATATTAGCAAACATTGCATCAGTTCCCAGAGGCGCGTGTAATGTATCTAATCTATAAGCTTACACCAATCGTACACTTCCAGTAAAACTTGTAATTTCATTGATGAAAGCACAGGAATATTTTCTGATCTGTAAAGAAGAATAAAACTGTCTGGAAATCATCCACCTCTGCACAATTATTGTAAATAATCAGTAAAAGTGTTTCTCTGCAGATTTAGTTGTGACAGTTGTTTTGTTTAGTTCTCGTAATGTAAGCTCCTGTAAAGGAAGGCAGTGAGCCATTTCCTGTCAGTGTGAACCCTGCACTTCCTGTCCATGTTTGACTTACTTCCTGTCCATCTCTGACCCTACCTTCTGTCATATGACCCCTATTGCTATTCGCTATCATAGTCATGGTGGTGTATTATTGTTTGATCAGTTGAAAATTACTGCCTGAAGATTTACATCGCAGTGTAAGACTATAGACAGTATAATGCATAAAAATTCTGTTTACCTTCATGCACAAATGCAGCATTTATGATTTAGCGATCATAATTCTGTTCCTGAACATAGAAATTATGAAGATTATTACTAATTTGTATTATATGAATTGTTATTTTGCAGGATCACTGTTCAGCGCAGTCTGGAGGATGCAGAAGAAATTGAGAGAGAACGACGACGACATGCAAGAACCAGTTCCTCTACTGAGCCATCTCAACCCACCGGGACCCCACAGGACAGCCCTCGCACTGCACAGCCTCTGGACAACCAGTTAGTTTCAAAAACCTAAAAGTACACTCCAGTCAAATACATGTGTTTTGTGAAACTGTGTTTTGTGTGTGTGTGTGTGTGTGTGTTTGTTTTGTTTCCATGGAATCTCAACTTCCAGATTCTGGCTCAAGCCAACTTTCTCTGTCTAACTCTTTGTGTGCTTGTTAATCTGTTTGTGAGTTTATATGTGTCAAGACCACACCTGTTCTTTTAAATTCAGTCACTTATTCTATTCTATTCTTTTCTATTCTATTCTATTAACATACTCAACTGTTGTAAGTAGACTTGTTATTCTTATATTGGCATCCCAATGAGAGGCAATTCTGAAAGTGTTTCACTGTTTGTTAGGGGTCAGAATGATCTGGTTCCAAGCTGCCCATTCTCTTTGGAAGAGGACGAAGGCTTCAGTGATTGGACACATCTGAGTGGGCGCAAACAGGGACAAACGGAACATAAAGATGTAGAAACACATCTCAACGGCTCCCGTCACTCAAAACTGCAGCTTTGTTCCAGCTCTGCTCAACAAAGTAAACCGCATGATATCAATGTGTTTGACAGCACCCCATTCATACAGACCCGACCCCCCCTTTCAAATCAGCAAAACCTGGATGAGGATGGTGATGATGAAGACTGGGGTGCCAGAGAGCAGGAAAGAAGAGATAACATTAACGCAGCAGAGAGGGAGGAGGGAGAGACTGGACGGTGGTGTGCAGAGGAGGGCTATCCAAGAAGGGTGAAAGGACATGAGTCATCTTTCTGGAAAAAACAAAATCAGAGCTGTGACATGGATGAGAAGGTATGATATTTAAGAAGGCATTTAACAAGATAGCACTCAAATAATACTTCTTACCCTTAAATCCTTAACTCAGTCATGCATCAAAACCAGTCTTTCAAGTGCCTACTGTAACTACTGCATGCAGTGAAAATATATGCTTCTTTCACAGAGAGAAAAGAAGGCAGAGATGAAGATTTCCTACACCTCTACAGTCCTCCTCCAACAGAATGGGAGACAATACAGTACTAATGGACAAGAGGG